AAAATTACGTGAGTACTGAAAATTAAAGTCAAAATTTGACTTTAAACATTTGTTATCTTACATGCGTGTGTCTTGAAAAATGTCTACCTTCTCTTTAACATAAAATATACTTAACTAGAAGTTAGATAATACCTGTTCTTCAATTCTTCTGTTCATAATACCGACGTTAAGGTTCATAAGATTCATAATTAAATAGGCTAAGAGATTGATGCGATCGAAAAAATTCTGAAAGCCAAGTGTACGAAATGCGACGACCATTTGCATAAATTACAGTTTCCTATTCTGCTTATTTATATTTATCATACTTTCATTACTGCACCATTTCTCGGTTTCGTTATTCAGAACTTCAAATTCTATTATTCAATTTATTAATCTTTATTAATTCTATGTGATCTATTTAGATTAATAACTTTGGGTAGAGTAGACTTTAAGGTACCCCTTGTATTATGGCGAAGTTGTTGTTTAATTTATCGCCAAGTTGTTGTTTCATTTATGGTAGCCTTAGTAGGGAATCTTATGGAAACCCTATTGTGACGTAATCGGGTGCAGTTTCTGGGAATTTGAATCATGGGATGTTTTGTAAGCGTTTTTGTGGTGTGTGTTGTGATTCTTTAGACGGTAGAATGACCGAAGTTAGTAAGATTAATTTGAAGTTCGTCGATTTGGAGGAAAGGGGAAAGAGCTTTAATTGACTGATGTGTAAATGAAGGTTTACTTAGTAGCTATTATAAGTGTCCTGTATGTAGGAAGGATATGCCTCTAGTCGAACGTAAAACCGTAGATGATTTGAATGGGTTTGAGAAGAAACGTTCAGTGGTCCACTATGTGAAGCGTCGATCAGAGAGAGAGTACCTGGTTTGAAAAAAAGTCATTTGAATATGATTGATATTTTGATTTTTTCGTGGCTCTGGGTGTGTACGAAGCAAATCGAAAATCATGGTAAGTGAATATTTGCTTTTGGTAGTGCTTAAATGTATAACATGTTTTTCCTTTTTTATGTTATTTATTGTTTTGGTTTAATTTATTTATGAGATTATGTATTTTTTGTTTGCCTATGTTGTAGAATTTGTGCTCCTTAGACTTTTTAAGGAAAATATATCGCGTACATGGACAAAGTAAAGGGAGGCACAATGCAAGTTTGTGCAATCTGGGATTTTTTTTTAAGTGAAAATAGGTCGACGTGTACATGGATAAAGTTAAAAGAGGTAGCCATTTTTGCGCAATTCGGGGATTCTTTTTTAAGTGAAAATAGGTCGACGTGTACATGGATAAAGTCAAAGGTGTGCACAATGCCATTTTTGTGCAATTCGGGGATTTTTTTTTAAGTGAAAGTAAGTCGATGTGTACATGGATACCGAGTTTGCCAAAATAACTAGTCAAAGAATTGCACAAAATCGGTATCCATGTACCGCTAAAAATCGCCAAATTTCGCCAAGGGGTACCCTAAACTATACTTTTACCATAACTTTTGCTCAGAATTACATATACTTAAAATAATATTACATATTATATTAAATAACTAAGAACGAAATTAACAAAATTAGAGAGAACTAAAATCAAAATAGCGGTGTTATTCATATGCGATGATAATCATCACGCGTACAATTTTTAATAAATAAATATTCATTAATAGAAGTTGAGAATGTCTACAGATGGCGCCATCTTTCAATATGTCAGAGTGAGATTGAAAACATAACGTACATGTTTCATCAAAATTAAACGATTCCGTATCTCGTGCTGCCATCTATTTCTAAACGCTATAATTAAATTATTAAACTCTCCATTCGGATCCGATATTATCCAATCTGATTGATTTCTTTTTTAATTAGAGTTGAAAATTTGCTCTTTTTCGTCCTTTTGGCTTGTAATCTTACATCTTGCAACGTCGTTTTGCAATACTTGTCTGTATATTGCCTACTGTATATATATAACTAGCTGTCATCTTGTAATTGTTTTTATTTATTTATTATTATTTTATTTTCCCCTGCTATTTTATGTTACTGAATTCTTCTTATGCAACCTGAAAATTGCATTAGTTTTTCTACTTAACAGAGGGCTTATGTAAAACTTTTGTTAATTTTTTTTCTAATTTGTGAATCCCTAGTTTTCTCTGTTTGCTTAAAAAGAAATCAGTTAACTTCATGTTAAAATCAAAAGAAATTTAAATATTAATGATCAAATGCAAGAATATATTCCACAAATAATTACAAGAAAAATTACTGAAGTGACTTGCAATGTCTTACCAAAGTATTGCAGCAAAGTAATTATGAAATTAAAAAAAAAAAAAGGAAACAGTAAACACTCAATGAAGAATTAAAATTGAATTTTTATGTTTGTTATATAGAGAAAAGGAACATGGAAGATGTAACATGCCTATGTCCCCAAAAAATAGATAAAAACAAATTAAATATTAAAACACAGAACAAAAATATATGATTTTGGGAATTTCATTGAGAGGAGATAAAAAGGAAAAATGCATAACAAAATCTAATAATATAAAGAAAGTTAAAGTCATAATGGACACTATCGCTGTTAATAGCACTAAAGCTGAATAATAGGACCGGATTTAGATTTGACGAGATCCTAAGCTATTGAGATATGGGGCCCTTTATGATGGATATGAGACACTTTTTTTCTTTTTTTTAATATGGGTTAAAGTACAATTTTTGAAGGTGGCCCCTAAGCTATACCTTGTGGAGCTCATACGTAAATCTGGAACCACTGAATGATCATTCAGATTTATGGAAACCAAATGTATATATACAAGATGTTCTTTGACTGTACAACATATTTCAGATTTAGTGACAATCTCCATAATCAGGAAAGATTTAAGAGAATTAAATCCTAAACCTCTTTTGAAAAATAATTATTTTATTTAAATTATGTAAAATGCCTTGTGGAAGTTTATGTGAAATATACATACATGATTTATAAATCAGGTATATTTCACATAAACTTATAATACTTATGTATATATCACATAAACTTCAAAATAACTTATGTCTCTACAGTGGCGCCCGAACTAACAAAGTGGTGGATGATGATTCTTCACACCCAGGATTTTGCCTAAAAACCCCAGTTGCCCTTTAAAAGAGTGAGTATATAAGGTATTTCTCCTGCCTTCCTAGCATGCCTTCATGGTGTAGTGGTCTGCAAGCTGGGCACATATTCCAGAGGTTCGTGGTTCGATTCCCGACGAAGGCTTTGCTCATTTTTCACATCTCCTGCTTCCAAAATAACTAATGTCTCTACAAACTTACTGAATATTAGCTAATATATGTAAAATATCCAATTTTATCATCGCTTTCATCATAGTTTCTTACATGATTCGCGATTACCAAATGTAAGTTTTCATTTTTTTTTTTTTAACTTCAGTACGCCCTGTATTTACAATAGATTAATAACGTTGACAGAATAAATCTTTTTTCAGTCAAACAAAAACCACATATTAGGATGGCTACAATTAAAAAATGAATTTAGTGCCTTATGAAAGCTTTAGTTATAATTTGTTGTTTTAGGAGATTTTTCGAAGGCTGCTTCATAATGATTCCATACTTCAATTGGAAACTGTCGTCTTCTAGAACTTTTTTGGCTCCAAACTTAAATAACTACATTCAAACATCAATTTCTATAGATACACATCAAAAGTATGCAAAAATAGAGTAAATAAAAAACAATAATAAACTATTGGCAGTTACAGGGAAAAAATGTCGTATAGGGGGCACTGATATAAAATATTATAATACATGCAAAATTTTACTATAGTTTTCATTTTTTTATATACCACCCCTGAAAAGGTTAATAGTATGAGCATTTGTCCAATAATTTTTTTCAAATGATTGTATAATTTTTCTTTAAAAAATTCAAGCAGGTGTATGATATTCAAACTGATTAATGTAAGGATATTTTTACGTATTTTATTTATCAGTGGGCTAATTTCCAGGTGAGCATATATCTATGTGAGCTTTTATCCGTGTGAACATATTTCTAAGTGAGTATTTTTCCATGTGAGTATTTTTCTATGTGGGCATATTTCTGTGTGGGCTTTTTTTTCCGTAAAACCACTTTCTAGTAGTTTATGATCTTGTGAAAATTGCATCGATGACTGTACTGGAAGTTTGGAGGAACAAATGACCCTTTATTTCTTTCGATAATAATAGATCGCTCTTTATTGAATTATATGATCAACAGATAGAAGTTATAAATATGGTATATAAAAACTTAAAATAACTACAAGCTCAAATTATTAAATTATTTGAAATTCATTAAAACTAGCATCTATCATTCTGCAACAAAATTCCCCAATGGAATATAAAAAAACAACAAAACTATCATCATCATTATAAACTAGACACTACATAAATTCACTTATATACAAATCTAAAGGTGGTGTGCTATTTTGTGACACCTTTTATTGTTCCATTTTGACAAACTCCCCTGACTTTTAATGTTTTGAGTATGCAAATCAGTATAAACAGTACCACAATTTTGAAAATATTCCACTGCTTGCTGTACTCGAAAAGGCAGATCCAAATTTTAATCCCTTTCAAAATCAAGAGAAAACCAGAAATAAAGTATCTGATTTATACCTTCTTTATAAAACCTAACCTGGTTTACTGAAGATCAGGGTTACATACAACCCAAGCGAAATTCTGGGTGTTTTATTATGTCATGTTTATTCATTATTGGCGATACTGTGTATCAACAAATATGTTTGTGCTGATTTTTTTATTTAATTACATTTTTGTTTATTTCTGCACAGTAATTTATATTTTTAGTTTGTGTAAAAAGTAAAATATTTAATTAGATTTTGATGTTTGATTTTTATAAGATGGTACAAGTCGTTTGCTAAAATATTTATACCTCAGCACAACTTCTAAGACTATGTCATCAGGCTGTCCTAATGATGTCATAGAGACTGTATCATAAATCTTTTCAATTCTACATTTAAAAAATATAAAAATAAAAGCAGAAACAAAATTTAAAATTTTATACTCTAGTTTTTTTTTTTTTTTTGTCTCTTTTCTAAAACCACACAATGGACCATCTTCTTACAATCCGACTAGTGACTGATATTACTTAGCAAAGACTTTATTTGTAAACTAACAGTAATTTTCATAGCACAGCTACTACATGGCCAGCAAATTTGAATCTCGCGATCTTACATGCATAAGGTGTTTTTAAATATCACAGGTGCGATAGGCACAGGTATGGTTATGCATTTGATTATTATGTTGATAAGCAGTTTCATTATATAATTTTGATCTTAGCTATAATTTAATTAATTAAGATTTATAACAAAAATCATTTAAAATTTAGGTTTCTCCAGAATAAATGAGTAAATAAAAACAGTATTCTTCTGTTATCGATAACAGATTCGGAAATGTACATATGTATGTATTTATATTTATGTGTGTATGTACACACATACATCCATTCTTTTCTGAATCTACTCCTGATAACAGAAGAGTACTATAAAAAAAGCATACTTTTCTGTTGATGAGGTGCCTGTGTTAGCCTGTTTATATTACACCATGCACAGCTTGTGAATAATAAATTATTGTAATTGCTTAGGATAAAAAAGTATATCGTCTACAAAGAATAATTCTTAATGTGCCTAGAAATGAAGATGATAATTAGCTGAACTTGATTTATGTCAACTTCTTCCTACCATTCCACTCAGCCATCTAAGACTGCAAGCTGTTAAAAAGTTCCAGTGGCGTTTGTGCATTTAAAATACTACATGCACGTATGTATGTGCATATATGTGTATATGTATGTACATACACACATACATATGTATACATGAACACATCAATCCATCCATACATGCATATATACTTACACTTCCTGAATCTGGTTCTGATAACAGAAAAGCACCCAAATTTCTTTGAATATAGTTAATAATTTAAACAAATTGAAAAAGTGATAATCAGATTGTGTAATATCAGTACTAGGTTAGTAGCATCAAAATTACACAACTAATATATGAATGTTTCACATAAATTAAAATTTTGTTTATATGTCTTTTTCATTTATATGTTGTTTAGGAATGGTCCCTTGAAAGATAGTATATAATTGTATTTTATTCATTATGCACAACACAATTATTCTTTTCATGAAACCTTATACCTATGGCTATTTGTTCATGGGCACAATGTCCAGTGGCGCTAAACAGATGTTATGGATTTTGAGAATGAAATGTTTTCCCCTCTTGGCAAAACAGGAGGGGCACAAGATTTTCAGTTGTTCCCAGGAAAAAAAAAAAAAAAAAAATTCAATTACAGAATCAGTCTTGAAATATAGGAGTCAGCTAAGCATACTATTTAAGTTTTTTCTTCATAAGCAAGACTAGTTATATATCATTAATAAGCAAATGCTGTTTTAATTTGGCTTTCCTTTAAAATGACATAAGTGTTAACTAGCATACAGGAATTTTGTTTCCCTGTGTTAACATCTGAAATGATATATTACATCCACACATCATGATGTTTCTCTGCTACACAAGCCATTCATGCTATTAACTTAACTTTCCATCTAACAGATGTGAGGCATGAAACTTTTCTTCTCTGTGGATAACATACATGTGTCATGGAATCATCCATTTTTCTAAATCACACAAGAGGTTTGTTTCTTCCATGAATAAGCATATGCTTTTTTAAACTACCCTTCTGTCTATATGATTTTTTACACACCTTACACATATGAGGTTTTTCTCCTGTGTGAATAAGCACATGCTTGTGTAAAACACTCTTTAATCTAAATGACTTGTTACACATCTCGCACACATGAGGTTTCTCTCCGGTGTGAATGCGCATATGGTGCTTTAAATCACTCTTTCGTCTAAATGACTTATTATTACACAGGATGCACAAATGAGGTTTCATCTCTACATGGATAAGCATGTGGTCATTTAAGTGACCTTTTCTTTTAAATGATTTATTACATATGCCACACATGTGTGGTCTTTCATCTGGGTGAAAAAGCACATGAGATTTTAACAAATTTTTGTGTATAAATGGCTTTTTACATATCTCACAGGCATTGAGTTTCTCTTCTGCATGCAAACATACATGTTCATTTAAATCATGCTCTTCTGTAAATGGCTTTTTACTTTCTATACATACATGTGGTCTTTCTTTTGCATGCATAATTATATGTGTTTTCAAATTACAATCCTTTTGTCCAAATGGCTCATGTTTCTCACCTGAGTGACTAAGAGTATGGTTGTTTATCACCCTCTTTTGTCCAAATGACTTATTACACACTTCACATACATGAAGTTTCTCTCCTATGTGGGTAACCATGTGCTGATTCAAGGTACCCTTCTGCGTAAATGATTTGTTACATTCTATACATACATATGGTTTCTCTTGCGTGTGAACAAGCAAATGAGTCTTCAAATGACTCTTTAGTCTAAATGACTTGTTGCACACTTCACACACATGGGGTTTCTCTTTTGTGTGAATAAGTGTATGTTTGCTTAATTCAGTTTTTTGTCTAAATGACTTGTTACATGCTTCACAGACATAAGGCTTGTCTCCTGTATGAAGAGAAATATGCTTGTTTAAATTACTTTTCTGTTTGAATGATTTGTTACATACCTCACACATATATGGTCTTTCTTCTGTGTGGACAAGCATATGAGATATTAACTGTTTCTTTCTTCTACATGACTTCTTACATATCTCACATATATGAGGTTTTTCTCCTATGTCAAGATGCATATTCTAGTTTAAATTATTATTATTTTTTAATAACTTAATTCACACATTTATATAGGCTATTTTCAGTGTGAATAAATATCTACATAAAAACATCTTTAAAATATTTTCTAAATGACTTGTTATATACACACAGATGAAATGCTTTCCTTGTACAGATAATTACAAGATTACTTTGGACAATTTTGATATCGTGATTTGTAACCCATTTTACACTGACGACTGTGTTTTGCATGAATATAAAAGAAGTTGATTAAAATTAAATTTAAAATCACTTATGGATTGGGTAAATAAATTAATCGGATTAGTTCTTATATTCTTCGCACCAGCTATTCAATGAAAATGTATTTCTGATTACCTTTTCAAGAATGTTTATGCAAGAAGCTCATGAGTTGTGTGACATTAAGTATGCCGTGATTTCTGGAAATAGTAGGCAAAAAAATAAATTATACTTCACACAAATAGGATTATTTCCCTGAGTACATATACAATTCTCAATAACGAATTCAAGCAATGATGTTATATACGCTTCTTCGATTTCAAGACGATTCTGAAAAAAAGTGAATTAACGTATATTTAGCATATTTCTCTTATTTAAATAACGACTTTTCGAAGTGGGTAGTTTCCGTTCGCTAACAAATGCTCGAACTTCACTTACACAAAGTAAATGACATTCACAACGTGATTAAACAAAATAATATACAACATTTCGACTAGAGTTCACCGTAATGGAAGCAGAGCACGCAGATTTCATCGCGCTTCAATGCTCGAACTGTTTCGCAGCCAGATTATATGAAACAAACCGTTGGTGATCGAATTGATGGTGCAAAAGGTACCTCCTTAAAATGTATTAACCAATGATTTGAACATCTGCCCTGCAGCGCTGGCTTTCACAAATACCAATACGGAATTACGGCCAAAGAAATATGTATTGTTATGTACACAGTAGACGTTCTTTGTTACGGCTAAATCATCGCGGATGATGAAACGGATGAAACTGTTCCCGAGCTGCCTACCTTGACAAGTGCCGCCGTCTGGTGGTACAAGGTAACGAGAAAAGTCGACTGTGGAGAATATACAAGCGGGCAGACGGGATGTAGCAAGTTACCACCTATATAGGTGTAGGTGGTATTGGATGTGGTCAACCTTTTAATTACGCGTTATTTAGTTTCTTAAGTTTCGTATTTATCAATATTTTCTATATTTTTCTTGTTTAATTTATTAAAAACATTAAAATATAATCTACATTTAAATAAATATAGATGCATTTTTTTTTTTTTTTTTTTTTTTTTTTTTTTTAATTTTGAAAAATGGGGTTTGGGTAAAGGATGTAGAGGGCAGAAAAGTTTGAGAACTACTGATCTAGTGGAATACATTAATAGAAAGACATTAAACATTTCTTATCATATCGTAGAACTTGAAATAAATGAATAACAAACTTATATTAATACCATACTTATGCACATAAATATACTTGAGATAAAAGTCTAAATTTTAATATGCAGGATCAGAGCCAGTGCACGAGGTTTTGACGCTAGGCCGCGAAATAATAAATGGCGCCTTTGAGAGGATTTTTCATTCCCTCCCCCATTTCTTTTTGGGAGGGGCATGACGTAAGAGATTATAGAGGCTGATCAAGAAATATTATATTTACAAAACAAATCTGTTATTTAACTTTTGGCGGTACTTCTTTTGAATATTTGATTCAACACGTGTAATTTTCATATGCTGAGTATGCTACGATTTACAGATCTTTTTTGTGACAAGGCTATACCCATTGGATAACTTTTATTATTAAGTATCACCATGGTTTCGAAGAGTGTAATTGATAATCATTCTCCGATTCCATCATAAAGTAAATAAATAAATAAACAAAGTGCAAGGATAAAATATTTTAAACAAAACTGATAAATTAGAAAATATTAAATGATTAGATAATAATTTTAAGTTATGTGTTGCTGTAGGCTTCTTTACATGTTTCAGGGGGGTCTCCAAACTTTTCACCCCGCGGGCCGTAATAGCTTATAAGGTAATTCTACCGCCTTCTTAGCATACCTTCGTGGTGTGATGGTCAGCACGCTCGCTATTTCGAGAGTCTATTTGTTCGAGAGTCAAATTCGTATATTTCGAGTATTCGAGAGGTCTGATGTTTGAGTCCCGACGAGGGCATTGCTCATTTTTCACTTCTCCTGTTTCGAAATAACCTAGTGTCTATACAAGCTCATTCACGAAGCTTCGAGGATCAAGATGTAGTTAGTTCAATGGTGATGTAATTGTGATGAAGAGTATACACATGTTCAAACAATAGCGATTGGATACCGCTATGATATCACTCAGCGCCTTGTTTTTCAGACTTTCATGCAGTTTCACTTAACATAAATTTCTTGAAACTTTTTAAACATTTTCAAAAATATTCTTGTCCCAGAATACCAGAGATTTCTTTGGAAAAAATTCAGAACAAAAATTAAGATTTAAACAAAATCGCTGCTGAATATTTCTTTGAAGGAACCTAGAAAACATAGGGTGTGGAAACAAACGAACAGTTCCAGTACATCTCAAGTTTTCATCAATAGAATTTATTTCGTCTTAATGGAAGTAAACATGACTATGACATTCTTTTCCTGAATGATGCAGGTATATGTTTCAGGTGAGGTATTTAGTCTTGTTTCCCAAAATACTGTATCTGAAATGCTTGTTGTACACCTTGCAGAAAAGTTTCATGAATTGTCCATGAATAGACAATGACAAACTTATTTCTAATGTAAAAAGGATGTTTTTAGAATCACCTGCTAGAACGAAAGCCTTTAGAGAGATTTCAATTGATATACTGTTGCCTTTAAATCCAGTTTTGACAAAGAAGGGAACATCATAAAGTGAGCTTGCTATTTTGTCGAGCTAGCGTGCTTGCACAAAACGCCAAATACTGGAGACCTTTTTTTAGAATTCTTTGTGAAATGTTCTATCTTTATTCAGTTATTCCTGGTTTCAGTGCAGGAGGATTAAACGATTTTTACTTAAGGCAGAGAATACAGTAAGGCTGGCCCTGATGACCAGCATTTTGTCAAACTCACAGTTGCTGTCAATATATTTTATGTTTTTCCATTAAAATGCTTACGAGTTATTCAAAACGGTATTTGTAAATAACAGTCTCACATTTATAGTTTCATATTTCTTTCAGATATAAGGCTTCTGGAGAAACAAAATCTAGACTTAGTGGCCTCTTTATACGCATTTGATGTGATGAAAAATGTGTCCCAATATTTATGCTAAAAAAGATGTAGGTTCAAGCATTGTGAAAACATAGTTGCTATTGCTACAAATCCTGTGATTCTGATATGTTTTAAATATGCACCTGTCACATAGGTAGAAGATGATGGTTTTCCTTCCTTAGGGACATCATAACAGATACAATTTGTCAGTGGAGCATCTGAAGAAAATGTCTGTGATATTGCGTTATCAGAAGTGAACTATGTATTGCATGGCAAGATTCCTTTCTTAAGGTACGGAATCCTTGTTTTTTTTTTTGGTTCTGTTTGTTTAGGTAATTCTTGATCATGGTATTTATTATTTATTAGCATATTTTCTCTGGAATTCATGGAAAGTACTAATATTTTTATGATATGTAGAAATACATTTTTATATGCTTTGTTTATCGATATTCAAAAATCTTTAGATAATAATTAGTGCTATCGAATATAGTGCATAAAGTGTATTAATGAATTCAAAACTTTATAACACAATTAAGATAATTATTTTTCCCAGAATATTTTTAAACACATTTTCTTCTATCTACCTACTGCTTTCAGCATTTCAGTTTGACACAACTGCCTGTCTTTATTCATAAAATATTTATTAATAATGCCACGGATTTTCAATAGCATTAAACTTCCTGAGAATATGATTGCAAATAAAAATAGGAAAATTATACATTTTGTTATTTTTAAGCAGTTTGAAGTCATTTGAATTTAGATTACATACACCAGTGATTTGTTAATGTTGATGACTTTGGGAGTGCATAAAACATCTCAGTCATCTCACAGAGCCAATAAAACCAATTTTTATTTTATTAAGTCATTTATTGTGAGTATCACCTGCCAGTATACCGTATACTATGATTAAACCCACCTACAGTCTTCTGAAAGGTAAATGTGAAAAAAAAAAAGTTTATTGAGAATATATTATTTCATTATAATTTTTACTTATAAAACCTGATCTGCTTCTTAATATTTTAGGTAAAATTATAACAACCGAAATAATAAAAATTACTTCATTAATTATTTAAAACATATTTTGCTGGACACACGATATTTAAGAGTTGCGTGGAACACTATGGTTCTGCGAAAGACAACATTATACTGCTTAAAGCAGGGATGTCAAACTCATAGGTACACTTGGGCCAAACAAACAAGGTTTAACTTTAGGCGGGACGCGGAAAAAAAAAAAAAAAAAAAAAAAAAAAAAAAATCAATATTCATAGAAACGTAGATTTATTTCGAATAATACAATAATAAACATATATATATATTTATATAGAAAAGAACAAGAAAATTTAATGTTTACGTCCTGATACTTGACATCTCTTCTCTGCTATTATCTTTCCTATTTCGGGAGAAATTTTGTTTGCAGTGATAACTTTCAACGCTGACCCAAGGTGAGCATCATTAATACGGTTTCTAATAGGAGACTTATTACCCTCCATGACTGAAAATAACTGCTCGCACCGATAAGTGCTACCAAACATGGAAATAATTTCATATGCGAATTTTCTAGTATTTTCAATCCTGGCTGGTAAATATTTGTAAAATTCAGGCACGCCCACTTCAATGAATTTTGCTTTCAAATTTGAGTTGCATTGAATCTCGATCACCTCCAAGCCGAAGGTAGCTGAACGCAAGCTACTCACACGCATTTGTAATTTAAGTAGTGTGTGTGTCAGCTCGCTGTGAGTAATCTAATAACACTGAATAAATTATCGTTAATTACTTAGCAGTAAACATTTCATTTTTTTCTTTTCTTCGTCGATATGTTATTTTATTATTATATATTATTATTTGCCAATATATTGGCCGGGCCGCATGCGGCCCGCGGACCGCGAGTTTGACATCCTTGGCTTTAAAGCCTTTAGAAATTTTAAAAATTACACGTAGTAACAACCGCGTTATCAATAGCGATTCACCCCCTTCCTAGCTTATTTTCATCTTCTCAAGCGGAAGTGACGTCTGGCCAGCAACCAAGAGTATGGAGTTCTGGGATAGATGAGAATCCAATGTCTAAGCGCTTGTTTTTATGCCTATTTCCAAAGCAAAGCTCTCAGACACACCAGTTTTGGCTCTGAAAGCTTCGAATAAAATCTTTTTACCAAATATTGCTGTGCGTTTGCACATAGCAGCTACACTGGCGATAACATCTTGCGAATGTGAACGTTCCGCAAGTGCTTTGAAAAGGTTAAAAAAGTCATAACTGAGCTACTATGACGGAAAAGCGCAGAAATTCTTTGGCATTAATGCGCTTTCATTATACTAAAGAAATATCATTTGATAAAAGTTATTGATATATTTGCCAGTTTTGAAAGGACTGAATAGTGTTTGCCTTTTTTTTTAAATTTTTCTTTGCATTTTAATTTCATGTCCAAAATAAAAGATGTATTTACAACTTTTATGTATTTAATTCAATATCTTTATTATATAATTATATGCAAAAGAAATATGGATTTTATATACACGCTTTTGCAAAAAAATCTAAGCACCATGAAGGAAGTGGTTGTTTTTGATGAAATTGAATATGTGTATAGCTTATACACAGATCATAAAATAATTAAAAAATCAAGGTTATAGTACCTGTTCACGGTTCACAATCACATACTTAGTGTTCAAATTAGTAGCTGGTCGAACCGCCCCTGGCGGCAATGCATGCTTGAATTCGTCAAGGCAAGGAGTGGTAGAGGTTCCTAATGTCATCTTGCGACACATTCTGCCAAGCATTCATCAGTTGTAGCTCCAGATCTGCGATATTTCGTGGTGCCCGAATCTGGCGGCCTACTATGCTCCAGACATGCTCGATTGGTGAAAGATTTGGTGAACTTGCTGGCCAAGGAGGAGTATCAACCGCACAGAGACATTCCAGAGATATGCGAGCGATATGTGGCCTGGCATTATCTTGTTGGAAAATGGCCCCTGGATGACGTGCCATGAAGGGTAATGCAACCGGCCGCAGGATGGTATCAACATATCGTTGAGCTGTTAAAGATGTACGGAGGATGACTGAAGATGTCCTGCTGTCATAAGAAATAGCACATCACATTATCACACCAGGATTGTGACTGTATGCCTCTGTAAAACAAAGGCTGATTGGGACCACTGGCCCCGTTCTCTCCAGACACGAAGACGGTGATCATCTGTTTCAAGAGTGAAGCGGGATTAATCTCTGAGCACTATACTATGACAGTCTGATGGCAGCTATGATAATCGGATGCGACACCACTCCAAACGACTTCGCCGATGTTGTGGGGTTAAAGGCAAGGCCTCTGTGAGCGCAACCCCGCCTCAGACATGCGGCGTGAGATGGTGAACGTATAGACGGTATAGACGCGGCTGTAGTGCGTTGAATAGTCGACAATGATACCGTTGGGGCGCTTCGGGCCTAGCGAACGATCATCCTATCTTGCCTCGCATTTGTGATATTTGGCCTTCCAGAGCCTTCATTTCGTCGGCAATTTCCTTGTAGCAACCATTGCTGCCAACATCTTTGCACAGCAGTGTCTGTACGCTACAGGTGGCGGCCTATTGCTCGGTATGACCACCCAGCTTCATGCAACCCTACAATGCGACCACGTTCGATGTTGTTTAGTTATCTGTAAGGTTTTCGATATCGTCGTAATAGCATCTTTAGTCAACAAAGAATAAGATAAATTTTCCGCCTCTGTTTCTGGTTTTATAATTACTCGCACTAGAAATGTGCGCTTTTATCGCAATTCCTGTTCATTTGCCTTGAAACTTTGATCATTTGCATGTTCGATCAAGATGTTTTTGCATACCAAATTTCGTCACTATCGCAAAAGTTCTTTTTGGTGCTTCGATTTTTTTGCAAAAGAGTGTATTTATTTATTTTTATACTTGTATTATAAAACCAAAATAAGATCAATTTAAAATTCTTTTAATATTTTAATAACAATTTTAATTAATTAAAAAAATATTGAGTTACGCATTTAATATGTTTGTAAGGTAAAAATTATAAATACGATAATTAAATGTAATATATCCATAATTATGTTACATAATTTTACTATTAATAAAATTGATGACATAATTATCATTTATATTAAGATAACTGCTATTAACATAATATATTCGTCATTTAATGATTACCTATATACGTGAAGATGCTGTAATAGGTAGAACAGCCATATAGAGTATAGGTTTGTAACAGGTAGAACAGCTGTAATAGGTATAGCCATGAGGAGTTGTAACGGGCGCCCCTTCTGAATTGAGCTGCCTACGCCCATGAGTATGGAGCATGAAAAGTGTCTTAAGTAAGCTTATTATTCTTCCTCTTTATACGATTGGGGGATCACACATGCCGTTCTACGTTTGGATTGCAGCTGCTGTGCCTCTTTACCGGGTTTTTCTTCAATCTTCATTTTCTCTCTGAATTCAATAATGTCTGCGATCGAATTGATGTTGCATGTCATTGAATCTCAGATTCATCTGCTGGAAGAAAAGCGCTGCAAGGAAAATTCACTTGACGAGATGTCAGATAACAACATAGCTACATTCATCTATATGCGCAACAGCCTAAAACAACAAGTCCCGTTCCTGTATCAAATTCCAAGGATAGCAGCAGCAACACACAAGACTCGTTGCTGACCGTACCTGGGAAACATGTCAGAATCCATCCCCGGAAATTTACAACAAATTTGGGATTTTGGAGGACACTACCGAGCAGGAAAATACGAAGACCATCACGGATAGACCACTCAAAAATGGAGTAAAAGACGCACCAAAGCTTCAAAGTCTAAGCGCAGGTAAATCAGCTATTTCCGCAAAGTCCTATTCACAGAAAAGCCGTAAAGCTAAGTGTGCCTTATACTCGGAGGAAAAGATGTCAGAAGAAGAGCTAAATGTCCAGGCTCCAGCCCCTCCACCTTCTAACGAGCAAACTGCTGAAATGGAACCACCATTTACCCAGGATGACCAGGAAAGTGGATTTCAATATCCCAGACGTAGCTCGAAGCTACCTCTAATCATTATTCAAGATCCCAGTCTAACCTGAAAGAAATTGAATGACATGTTAGAAAAGGCAAAACTCGTCTTCAAAGCGAAGATGAGAAGTGATTTTGACTTCGAAATTAAAGTTTTCTACAGTGATATGCACCATCAGATTACGGCGCTGCTCGATTCCAAGGAAGTGAAATATTTCACCCATATGCTTCCTGACGATAAAATACTGAAAGTGGTTATCAGAAGCATTCCTTCCTATACGGAACCTACTGAAGTTGGTGAAG